TTAGAAGCATGTTGTTTAATCTTCAAATATTTGGGGATATTCCAGCTATCTTGTTATTGATTTCTAGTTTAATTCCATTTTGATCTGAGAGCAGACATTATATTATTTCTATTCTTTTAAAATTTGTTAAGATGTGTTTTATGGCCCAGAATGTGGTCTGTCTTGATGAATGTCCCATGTGAGTTTGAGATGCTGTTGTTGAATGTAGTTTATATATGTCTATTATATTCAGCTGATTGATGTGTTTTTGAGTTCAACTATGTCTTTTCTGCCTGCTGGATCTATCTATTGAGGTGCGATAAAAAAATACAGTGAATGTTTAAATAAAAAGTGTATTATAGTAAAAGACACATTGCTATTAATCCCCCTCACCTCGAACACACTTATCCCATTGTTCTTGCCACTTTCTGAAGCAGTTCTGGAAGTCCTCTTTCATGAGTGTCTTTAGTTGCACTGTCATGGCTGCCTCGATGTCCTGAATCAATTCAAAATGTTTACCTTTCATGGTCATTTTGACTTTGGGGAAGAGCCAGAAAAGTCATTTGATGCCAGATTCGGTGAATAAGGTGGATGAGGACACACCGTAATGTTTTTTTTGACAGAAATTGCCGCACCAGAAGCAATGTGTGACACGGAGCGTTGTCACGATGGAGAATGAAACCATTTGCCCATTTCATGTTAATGTGTTGTTCATGATCCATAATTTATAGCACACTTTAAAACACACCTTCTCTCAACCATAGCTCACACCCAACTGACTGCACCGAACAAGTTGAAACTTGTCACACACTGTTACTAAGGTACAACACGCCTTTTCCCATATTGAAGATCCCTGCCTTTCCATTGGATGGCACTGGGCAGCAGCATTCACCATATAGTCTGATCATACCTAGTATTTCTGAAAGAGGGGTGCTAAAATCTTGAACTATAATAGTGGATTCATCTATTTCTCCTTGCAGTTCTACCAGTTTTTGCCTCACATATTTTGATGCTCTGTTGTTATACACATACACATTAAAGACTGTTACGTCTTCTTGGAGAACTGACCCTTTTATCGTTATGTAATGCTCCTCCTTACCCTTGATAATCTTTTTTTTTTTTTTTTAGGTGAGTCATCCTGCCACCTGTTGGCAGCTCAGCGGCAGCTCAGCTCAGGCCGGGCATCGAACCGCTGTTGCTCAGAGCTCGCACTCTTGAGCGAGCTCTTAACCAACTTGATAATCTTCCAGGCTCTTAAGTTTGCTCTTTCCAAAATTGATATAGCAACTCTCACCTTCTTTTGATTACTGTTGGTATGGGATATCTTTCTCCATCCCTTTTAGTCTATATGTGTCTTTATATTTAAAGTGGGTTTCCTATAGACAATATACAGTTGGGTCTTGCTTTCTGATCCACTCTGACAATCTGTCTTTTAATTGGTGCATTTAGACCACTTACATTCAAAGTGATTATTAACATGGTTCTATTAAGACCTACTATATTTGTTACTGTTGTCTATCTGTTGTCCTTTTTTGGTCTTCCATTCTTTTTCTGCCTTTTGTGGTTTTTAACTGAATCTTTTATATGATTCCATTTTCTCTCCTTTCTTAGCATACTAGTTATACTTCCTTTTTTACATTTTTTAGTGGTTGCTCTAGAATTTGCAATATACATTTACAACTAATCCAAGTCCACTTTCAAGTAACACTATAGTGCTCTGTGGGTAGTGTGAGTACCTTATAATAACAAAATAATCCTAATTCCTGCCTTTCCTCCCGTGTCATTCCTGTCATTTATCTCACTTATACATAAGCATACAGAAGTTTTATTTATATGCATATATAATTGAACACATTGTTGCTATTATTTTTAACAAACTTATCTCTTAGATCAATTCAGAATAAAAAAAATACGTTTTTATTTTACCTTCACTTACTCCTTCTCTAATGCTTTTCCTACATCTCCAATATAGATCTGAGTTTTTTACCTATATCATTTTCCTGCTCTAATGAACTTTTAACATTTCCTGCAAAGCAGGTCTACCAGCAACACACTTCTTCAATTTCTGTTAGTCTGAGAAAGTCTATTTCTCCTTCACTTTCGAAGGATAATTTTACAAGTAGATTCTAGGTTAGGGGGGTTTTCTCTCAACACTTAAAATATTTCAACTCACTCTCATCCTGCTTGCATGGTTTCCGAGAAGTTGGATTAATTCTTATCTTTGCTCCTGTACAGGTAAGATTTTTTTTCCTTTGTCTTCTTTCAAGACTTTTTATTTATCTTTGATTTCTTGTAGTTCGGAAATGATATGCATGAGTGAAGGAGGTGTTATTGCACTTAAAAAACAATAAGTTGGTGTTCTCTGAGCTTCCCAGATCTGTGGTTTGGTGTCTGACATTAATTTGGGGAAATTCTCAGTCATTATTCCAGATAGTTCTTCTGTTTCTGTTTCTTTTCCTTCTGGTATTCCCATTACAGGTATGTTACACCGCCTGTAGCTATCCCACATTTCTTGGATAGTCTAGTATGTTTGGTTTTTTTTCATCTTTTTTCTCTTTGCTTTTCAGTTTTGGAGGTTTCTGTCGAGATATCCTCAAGCTCAGAGATTCTTTCTTAAGCTATGTCAAGTCTATTAATAAGCCCATCAATGGCATTCTTCACTTCTGTTACAGTGTTTATGACCTTTAGCATTTTTTATTCTTTCTTAGAACTTCCATCTTTCTGCTTACATTGCCCATCTATCCTTTCATGTTGTCTACTATATCCGTTAGAGCCCTTAACACATTAATCATAGTTGTTTTAATCCCCAGTCTGGTAAATCCAACATCCCTGCCATAGCTGAGTCCGGTTCTGATGTGTGCTCTATCTCTTCAAACCACGTTTTTTGCCTTTTAGTATGTTTTGTAATTTTTTCTTGATAGCCAGACATGACGTAGTGGCTAAAAGGAACTGCTGCAAGTAGGCCTTTAGTAATGTGGTGGTGAGGCATGGGAGCAGGGGAAGTAGTCCCATGATTAGCTCTCAGTCTTTTTGTGAGCCTTTGCCTCTGGACTGAGGACTTCTCAGTTCCATGTCCCAGCCTCCCGCTTAGGTGGGACAGAATGGCTTGAGTGGACTAGAGTTGGTTATTTCCTTTCCCCTAGATCAGCTAGGTTCTGACAAAACCCTAGCACATTAGTTTCTCATTAAATAGCTTCTCCTGATGATAGACCACGTTAGCATGAACAGAATGTTCTAGCATGTTTCAAAACTGGTGCCTTTTCTCCTCCCTTTGCTGGAAGCACAAGGGGCTTTATCTCTGAAATTTGTTGTGAGAACCAGGAAAAATCCCCAAAAGTGTGGGAACCCCTTATGACTGGGTTCCCCTGGAATTTTTAGAACTCAGAGTTATCCACACTGAGCCTACAGCAACTCATCACTAACAGGTCAGGTCTTCCTACCCCAGCACTGGTTCCAGTGGAGGTGTCTGCTCATAAATTTTTGCTCTGGTAAGTTGTCATTCTCTGTATCTGCCTGTCTCTCTCCAATCTGGGTACAGCAATTTGCCCTGTGACCTCATTTCCCTTAAGGATCTAAGAAGAGATGTTGATTTTTCAGTTTGCTCAGCTTTTTACTTATTGTTTGAACAGACTGGTGACTTCTAAGCTCCTTCCTTACACGCCGGACCAGACATTAGAACTCATGATTTTTTTACATTTAAGCCAATTTGATGTGGGTTTCTGCTACTGACAAACAAAAGAATCCTACTGAGAACAGTAATACTTGGGTGGCACTTTTCCATTTATAAGCACTTCCTCAGCTTTTAGCATTTTTAAAGAGGAAACCAAGGCCCAGAGATGGGATGTAAATACACAAAGTTCAAAAAGGGTAGAAGAAACAGCCTGGGCCTCAGCTCAGAGATAAGCAATCCAATCCCTTTATTTTCCATATAGAAAAATAGGCCATATTCTCACACATTCTTGGTGAAGCTTTTTCAGATGATGATTTAACAACACCAATTAACTGTAAATGTACAGAGCCTTTGACCTTGCAATTATCCTTCTAGAAATAGATCCTACTCACCCATGTGCACAAGTATGCTCATTGTGGTGCTGTTTGTAAGAAGAACCGGGAACAAACAAACAAACAAACAAAAATAGAAAAAAAAAAGGGGGGGAGGAATTTTAAAAAAGAACTGGAAACAATTAAATGTCCACTAATAAAGAAAAAATTAAATTGATTTTAGTGTACACTCCATTGGAATGTTTCACAGCCAATAAAAAAGAATGAGGTGAACTGATATGTACCCCATGGAGGTTCTCCAAAAGCAGGACTCACAGGAACATGGAGAGCGTGATCGCATTTATGCAAAAGAGAAAATAAGGCACTGATACATGTGCACACGCACGTGGGGAGGTATGGAATTCAGACAGAGGGCTGAAAAGGCTGTGTACCCATCATCCTCCGTGGTTACCTCTAAGAAGGGCATGAGAATGAATGATCTCCACCTTTTGTTTTATGTCATTCTGCACTGCTGTAATGCATTACAAATGCATTCATGTATTACTTGGCCAACAGGCCCACACACAAACAATAAGCAGGAGACAGGGAATATTATGCCCAGGGACATACAACATGGTAAAGGAAGACATGGTCCAGAATACAGACCTCCCGATTCCTACCCTGGACTCATTCCTCTACCATCTCTGAATCTCCACAGCTGTTTCCTTCACTCAAAGCTCTTGTTATAATCATGGCAGCCAACATTTACCTTGGAGTCAGGTCACCACAACCCTAAGAGGTACAGATTAGCCTCATGCATATTTTGCAGATGAGAAGAATGGGACGCCAGGAGTGGGGGTTCCAGTATTTGTAATTTTGGGTTTAATCCAAAGAGAGAGAAAGACCTTTGTACCCCTGCTTCCTGGTCCCTCACACCCAGACCACTCAAGAAATGCAGGTTGGCCTGAGAGAACTGACCTGATACTCCTCCTCGGTAAGGCCTTCAGCCAGGGCATGCTGGCGCAGCTGATCGGGGTCCTGGGCACGGAAGAGGCGGCTGAGCAGGGCATAGATGTAGGGGGCCTCAGGGGAGGTCTGCAACAGCACAGCCAGGCCTCCATACCAGGCGGCCCGTGACAGATGGTGGGCATAGAGGCGCTCTGTGGGCGACAGCAGGCGGAAGGCCTCGCGGCAGTCCAGGCTAGACACACCGATGTCATTGGGCAGGATGTACTGGGTGTCCGCCATGGGCCCTGCTGAGAACCATCACCATCATCACAGCCATCATTTACCCCACACCAACCACCTGGCTCTGCACTCTCATGATCTCATTTAATCCTCCTAAAAGCCCATGAGGAAGGGAATACCATTGTACCCATTCACCAGGTATGCTAACTGAGGCTGAGACGGTCAGGTGACTCACCCCAGGAAATTACAACATATGCATACATTGGTGGGTCATATTTGGCCTGTGGCCCCTCAATCTGAAAGATTAAATCCAACTATCTAGTCTTACAGATAGGGAAACTGAGGCCCAGTAAGGCTAGGAGCTTTGCCTAATGACAGAAGGGAAGGGTCAGAAGCAGAGGCCTGCATCTCCGTACTCCCAGCCCAGGTCCCACTCTGGCTCCCCACCTCTTTCTCTGACCTACTAGCCTCCTTCAGGGTTCTCCTGCAGGTTCTTTAATTCTACCCACTGTGGTCACAAGGACAGATTCCCAGGCGACCAGCTGGAAGACCCAGGCTCCAATCCGGACTCAGCCCTACACTCCTAAAGTCAAGTCAGTTGTTTCACTTTTCTGCACTTCGGTTTCCGCCTCTGTAAAATGGGGGATAACCCCAATCTCACCAGGTGGGTGTGGGTATGCAAATTAGATGAAGCCACACGGGACGGAATGTACCTACAACAGTTAATGATTTTCCTCGTGCTCTTTTCCTCTCTCCCTGTTCCCAGGATCTGTCCCACACTCTTTATCCCTCTAACTGTCTTTGTGTCTGCCCTCCATCCTCCTGCCCTCTTCCTGTGCTTGGGCCAGGGGAGCTACAGAGCTACAGAAGTTCAGAGGTGGAAGAAAACTCACTTTACAGATAGGAAGGCTGAGGCTTTGTGAGACCAAGCAACTTAACGAAGGTCTCAAAGCCCCGGTGGGTCCCAGGGGTCTGCCACCCCAGGGCATTCTCCACACCGTCCTCCCTTACTGGGAATGTGTTTCCAGTGGCCCCCGCCACTCCCCATGCTCCGCCCCAATAGCGCAATCCCCCGGGTTCTGAAAGGGGTGTTAACCCTTCGCTGCCCGCGGAGCATTCCTCAGCCTCGGGGCCGCGATAACTTGAGAAGAGGTACTAGATGCGGGGCAGAAAGAGAATGGTCTTGCGCTAGGTCCAGACTCGCCCTGTCCCCGAGGAGGACATAGTGTGACCCTGAATCCCGAGCGGCGCGCCTCACCTGCAGCAGCTGCTCCGATTGCAAACTCACTTCCTGCTTCCGGCTCCCCCATTCATTGGGGCTCTTCTAACTCCGCCCCCACCGGCCACTTGTCGGGGGGGTCCGGATGAGCGTCTGTTCCAGCCAATAGGCGCTCCGAGGCGAGTTCCTCCGGCCCGCCCGCTCCCCGCCTCCAGGCGCTACGGGTTCGCACGCGGGATGGCCCCGGCAGCCTTGGCCTTTTGTCCACTGGCAGCGCTCCCCCGGGGGCGGGAACCTGCGTGGCCGGTCTGGCCGCGGCCTAGTCCGGGCAGACAGGGCTGACAAGGTCCCCTGAGTCCGGGCTGGGCTGCATGGATGTCATGGACAGAGTACCACTATTTCCCGCCCCCATACTCAGCCACAACCCTGCTGTCCTTTGGGGTTTTTCCCAGTCGCCCGACCTCAGTTTTGCGGGAGGGGACCTGTGCAATGGGAGTGATGTGTCCCCCACTTACTCACTGGATTCGAGAGCCAGGAGGTGGAGACTGCAAAGCGCTCCGTGCAGGGAATCGAGGCTACAGGCGAGCAGGCTCCTGCCAGGGCTGATGGTTCCACACGTGCCTGCACCACCACCAGCTCACTGTGGGCTGCGGGGGGGATGGGGAGCGGGACTTGGCGGCAGCAGCTAAATGTCTCTGAGCCTCAGTATTTTTCAGCACAAAGAGGCGAGGGGCCTGGCAGTTTCTTGGTGCTTGTCGGATGCCTAATGGATGAGAAAGCCACCTGCCACCCAGAAAGGCTGCCCAGGGCAGAAATGGGCCTGAGGTCTACCCTTGAATGTCTGGATGGCCTCACAGGAAGACGGCCTGAGTGAGGCATGGCATGTGAAAGTGCCAGGCGCCCAGCCAGGCTGAGTGGGGAGCATTGTGAGAGTCCCAGGTCAGAGTGGGGGTGGAGTCAGGCCATCTAAAGTCGAACCAGGCCTCCACCTCCTACTGGCTGTGTGTCCTTGGATGGGTCACTTTACCTCTGAGTCTTGACTTTCTGAGCAGGAAAACGGGGCTAATAATTGTCTCCACTCCGAGGGATGTTGAAGTGTTGACTGGGCAGTGCTGCCTCCTAGTGTTGTGCAGGGAGAAGGGGCTACCTGAAATCCACACACCCTCCTTGCCACACCTGCGTCTAGACCCAGAGCAGCATCTGCCCACCATGAGTGCCAGTTTCTGATTCACAGAGGTTCCCAAGCCCTGCTTGGCACAACAGTGCTGTTAGCTCTGATGATCATTACAGGAAGGAGCTCAATAAATTAGTCTGTCCTTAGGAAAGCCACCCCTCTTCTTCCCTGTGCCTCAATTCTCATTACCTTTAAACTGGGTATAAAGTCTTCCCTGACTTGGGTGAAGTTGAAATGGACACCAGTAAAGGAGGTAGTGCTGTCCACTGCCACCAGTAGGCAGCTCAGGCCAGCCAAAGATCCCAGTACTTGTGGGAGCCCCACCCAAGCTGCTTTTTTATAATTGCAGCTAATCTGAGCCTTACCCAGGTGCTGTGCTAGTAGCTTGACATATAGGATCTCATTTTATTCTTGCAAAAACCCTGAGATAAGATACCATTCTACCCATTGTACAGATGGGGAAACTGAGGCCAATAAGTTCATTGGCTTCCTTAACACCATCCAGCATGTCCTCAGGTGTCCCTGAATTGGGATCTAGCCTTCCTCACTTTCAACCACACTGTTCCTTCCACCTGCCCCAACACACACACACACACACACAGTATCACATGGAGCAGTCCACTCACCAGAGTCATGGCTTTGGCTGTTCCCCATGGGAATGAAGGGGTAGGCGAGGAAGTAACATTATTAAGTACCTACTGCGTTACAGGTGCTCTCCAAAATTCACCTGGTGACAGGACCGTTATTCCATTTAACAACTGAGGACACTGTGGATCCAGGAGCTGAAAGGGGCAGAGCTGGGCCAAGACCAGGGCAGTCTGACCCCCTCCACCACCACCTGGGGTGTTCTCCCTGGGGTGGTGCCTGTGCCCTCTCCTCATCTCTCTTCTAGAGTCTGAGGTTCCCTGCTAGCAATGGGATCGGAATGTTCCTGTCTGGTTCCCAACTGGGTCAGAAGAGAGAACCACTGGGAAGAGGTGGATTGCTGGTGCTGTGTTGTGTGTGCATGTGTGTAGGAGTTGCCATGCTCCCACACCCTCCCCAGGACTCCCAGCTGGGCTCCCCCACTGTGGCAGTGTGATGCTCTGCTCTGGAAGCAAGAGTCTGATCACATCCTCCTCTCACCATTGGCAGGTGCTCTCTCAACAGCCCCAGGTCTGGTCTCTATAGCCCCAACCAGTTGTGTGGCCTGGGGCATGTCCCTCCCCTAGGAATCTGTATTTCCTAAGGCAGCTGTCTTCCACTGGGGATATTGCCCAGGTCAGGCTTATATTCAGAGCCCCTTCAGATTTTTATGTCTCCATACCTTTCTTCCTAGCCCGCTCCCTCTAGGAATGGCCTGGGGGCAACCAGAGCAGCACCCCAAGCTCACCTTGACTCTCAGGGAGAGGAAACACTTAGCCAAGATGAAGAGGGATTCCATTCAGACTTGGCCTCCGTGGCAACCCAGGTCCAACAGGCCCCAGCCCAATATCTCCACACTTGGCTCATCGGTCATCAAGCATTTTCCCGCCACAACTTATCTGGGCTGCCCTCCCAACTGCTCCCATTCATTCAAAGAAAGCAGCACAGTGTGATGGAGAAGAGGGCAGTCTTCAAGGCTAGGCAGGCAGACATATATGTGAATCTGGCTTGGCCACTTTCTAGCTGTGCAACTTAGTGCCTTCATCTCCCCATAAACAGAAATGGTAACACCTCCCTCCCTGGTTTCCTATGAGGATTAAATAACCAAACCTCCGAGAAGCAGAGCCTGGTGCCTGGTGCGTGCTCAATGAAGGTAGTTATTATTATCATTAGCACAGTACAGGGCACATGGTGGGCATTCAGTAATGGTAGCCCTTGTGTCACAGCCAACACTCTGGAACCGCGAGTCCTCTCCCCTCCCTCGGCTCCTCACTGTCCACCAGTGAGGTTCTGAATCCTCTATTCAGCATCTTCCCCATCAGCACAGCCCCAATCTCTGGCTCCAGCCTCCTTCCTGTCCCCCTGAACCCCTGCTCCGGCCACTCTGAACCCCTCACTCAGTTTCCTCCTTACTTACCTCAGAACCTGTACTCTACCTCTCCCTTCTGCCTAAAGCACCCTCTCCTTCCTGTGGGGGGTTCCGATGCAGCCATTTAGCTGAGCGCCTATGCCACCTCCTCAGTGAAGCCTCCCTCACTTTTCCACCACCAGTGAGGCCTGCTCCACAGCCACTGATAACTCTGATCCTGGCATACAGGAAGCCGTGCTGTCATTCGGTAATTTGGTCTGTCGTTCACTAAACTGTGAACTCCAACAGGCAGGGAACCAGGTCTGATTTTCTCGCTGTCCCCAGAGTCCCCTTGGCATGGAGTCCAGTCCATAGTGGGTATCAGCAGATGCCGATCCCAGCCTTCCACCCACCTGTCACTCACCCAGGGGCTGGAGGCATTGCACACATGCGGGACACATGGGCTTGGTGAGAGCAGCTGAGTAGCAAGGTTTATAGAGGAACCCAGGGCAGCAGCAGGGTGAATGTCTAGAACTGGGTCGGCAGGCTCGGGGTGCAGCCAGCCTAAGCTGGGGGTCAGGGGCCCATGGTCCCTTCACTCCCCCAGGGGCACAGTGTAGGCGGCATGATGTGAAATGCCCCAGGAAGGGCCAGGGCAGGGAAGTGGGCTTCCCTCCGTCAGTCCAGGACAGAGCCCCATCATTTTGACTGGGGTAGGGGTCTTGGGGACTCCCTTAGGGACCAGAGTTAAAAGGAGAGGGGCACAGCCCATCCAACACGTCCATCTGGTATAGCTATGTGCCAGCAGTTAGAGTCCCACATGCAGAGCTCCCTCTGGGCTGCAGGAGGTGGGGGACCTAGGTGGACAGGCGGGCGCAGCAGCAGGGGGCCCCAGGGAGCTTAGTCCAGTGGCCCCTGGAAAATGAGGCGGACGCAGCCATGCTCACCAGTGAGCCAGGCGCCACAAAAAGGGCAGGCAGCATGGAAAGCGTGAGTGCCATGGGGCAGTGGTGTCTGGGCCCAGTAGCGGGCAGTCTTCTCAGAGCAGACATGGCCACAGGGTGCAAAGGCGTGGCTAGGCGGTCCGGGGTCCAGGCAGAGGCCGGCCTCCTGGCCGAGCCACAAGGGCACATAGGGCCCCACGAGGCGGCAAAGAGGACACTCCCGCTCCTGGGGGCCCCGCTCTCGCCGGCAGCCCCAACCGTGGTAGCCGTGGACGTGGCCGCAACGAACGTAGACCCAGGGCTGCTGCTTGTCTGGTGCCGTGCGGCCACGGGCCGGACTGGGGAAGGCCAGGGTGCTGAGGCCCACAGGGCACTGGGGCCGCGCCGCATTCGCCTCCTGTCGCTGGGCCTCCAGCTGCTTCAGCGTGGGTGCCCGCAGTAGCCCAGCCGGCGTGCGCCACAGCAGCGTGGCCCCACACAGGTCGATAAGGGAGCCATCCTGCAGCACGTTGGACTCATTTTCCACCTGCCAGGGGAGCAGAAGGGCCTTATTGCCCAAGAAACCCCCAAACCTCTGCCATCAGGCAGCCATCTCCCCAGCCTAGCCGCCCATCCATCCCACTGAACCACCCTGGAGAAGGCACTCTGGACCATCAGGGTGGGCTGGGGCAGAGTGGGGAGTGAGTGGAGCAGAGGAGCGGGGAAGGACTAAGGCAGAGGAGGGGTGAGGGCCAAGACGCCATGAGGGAGAGCAGGCAGGTGCTCCCAGGCACACAGGGTTCCTCACTTTCAGTAGGACATGGGCCTTGGTCACCTCATCTCACAAATCAGGAGGCCTGGATCTAAATGGAGGTTTTCTCAAATGTTTTCCCAGGCTCTTCCCTAATGGCAGAGGCAGGAAACTCTTCCATCTCAAACACTGGCCACTTAGCCCAAAGCAGCTGTCCTAAGTAAGGGTGATAGTTAAGGCACGGACCCTGGAGCTAGGCTGTCTGGGTGTGAATTCTGGCCTCACCATTTACTAACTCCGTGTTCCTGGTCGAGTAACTCAACCTCTTTGTGTCTTAATTTCCTTATCCTCCAGATGGATTCCACTTCCCTGTATGTCAAGTGGTTCTCATGAATCAATCAATGTAAACACCTAGAATGTGCCTGGAACTTAGTTGCTACTCAACAAATGTATGCAAGTGAAACATTCACATGCATAATTTTGTAAAATAATTTTTTCTCAAGTCTCCCAGGACAAGCGATGCTCTGGGAAGACAAGCCATGCTTTTCCTTGTGGTGTTGCATCTCCTTGCCAGACACACTTACACCCAGGAAGAGGTCTGAAGAGCCCATTTGAGGAGCTTGGCCACGTGACTTTGGGCAAGCTCCTACCTGTGTCTAGGACCCTCTCCCAGCTCCCAACATTAGTTCTCTGATCTGTACAACGGGGAGCATTCACTGTCACCTGCATCAGAACTACTCCATGGTCCCTTTCCCACTGGAAGAGGATAATAAAGCTAAACCCGTCTGAATGTGACAGACACGTTACAAACTGCCAACACTTTAGGCCAAAAATTGCTCACACATGGGCCAAGTGTCACCCTCATAAGAGGGTGTGATTTTTTAAGCTGCTGGCATCCTCTAAGACACTTGGTACTGCAGTGTATTTGTGTGTGCTCCACTTCCCATCATCCCATGGACCTCCAAGAGTATGTGGGTAATACTTGGGGGTGCTGATCCGGTCCCCTCTGTGGAACAAGCGGCACGTGCCCCCAGATGAAGCCTGTTGGGACTCCCTTGTGCAGGAGGACTGGAGATCCTCATTTCTTGGCTTGGGCAGGGGGACAGGCAGATTGGGAGGGTCCCAGGAAGGATGACAGGGTA